TTTAGAATTAGGAGCTTGGGAACTGGCACTGTGGCTTAGCAGGTATAGCAGCCACTGCATTGCTGGCATCCCATATGGGCGCCAGTTCGAGTCTGAGCTGCTCCTCTTCTGACCCAGCTCTCTGCTATGGCCTGGAAAAGCAGTGGAAGATGGCCCGAGTCCTTGGGCCCCTGCACCTGCGTGGGAGACCCAGAAGAAACTCCTGACTCTTGGCTTCAGATCAGCTCAGCTCTGGCAGTTGTGGCCATCTAGGGAGTGAACCAGCAGATGGAAGACCTCTCTCTCTCTCTCTCTCTCTCTCTCTCTGTCTCTCTGTCTCTCCTTCTCTCTCTGTAACTCTGCTTTTCGAATAAAAAAATAAATCTTAAAAAAGAATTATGATCTTGGGGCCAGTGTTGTGGCATGGTGGGTAAAGTTGCCACTTGCAAAGCCAACATCCCATATGGGCGTTGGTTCAGGTCCCCGCTGCTGCACTTCTGATCCAGCTCTCTGGTATGGCCTGGGAAAGCAGTGGAGGATGGCCCAAGTCCTTGGACCCTTGCCACCCACATAGGAGACCTGGAAGGAGCTCCTGGCTTTTGGCTTCAGTCTTGCCTACCCTGGCTGTTGCAGCCATTTGGGGAGTGAACCAGTGGACAGAAGACCTCTCTCTGTCTCTGTCTCTCTCTCTGTCTCTGTCTCTCTCTCTCTCTTTCTCTCCCCCCCATAACTTTGTCTTTCAAATAAATAAATAAATCTTTTAAAATGTTTTAATGTACTTATAATGTGAAAATATTAACAATATGTTAAATTTTGCAGTGAAGAACTATAAATCCAAATACAGTTATTACAAATGTGTAATACTAAAAATTGTATAGAAAATTTTGGAGAAGGCACATTCAATGTTAATAATATGTGCATGGTAGAGCTTTGTTTTTTCTTTAATTGTTAATAATTTCTAAACGTTTTTGAATGAAATGTATTACTAAGTTTATAAGACAAAAATTGTGAGGAACTACAAACAGTTCCCATATACCCCACACCCAGATTCCCCTATTTTTTTAAGATTTATTTATTTATTTGAAAGGCAAAAGGAGATAGAGAGATATTTTCCATCTACTGGCTCACTCTCCAAATGGCAGGTGCACTAGCAGGGCAGTGGATCAGAGGCGGAGTAGCCAGGAGTCAAAGCAGCACTCTGACACGGGATGCAAGTGTTCCAAGCAGCAGCTTAGCTTGTTGTATCACAATGCCCATCCCAATTTCCCCTATTATTAACATCTTACATTAGGATGATATAGTTGTCACAATCATTGTAATTCCACTTTCCGTGACCATTTTGAAGTCCCCTCCTACTCTTAAAAAGCTTTCAGTAATGGTCAGAGTTGTGACTTTTGGGGAAACGACGCAGGTCTTCCTTTGGGGATGGCCGTAGCAAACAGTGAAGCAGACAACACTTCCAGCTGTCTCTGTGTTTCTACAGCTGCTGCTCTTCAGTAAGCCTGTGCTCAGACACCCAGTGCTCTTCTTCAGCCCTGGGTCCTCCAATCAGGAGGAAGGGGAATTTCTTAGCTAACATCCATAGGCCACGCACACTGCTAAGCCCTTCTTTACATGACTTTATTAAATCCTAAAAACAATCTAGTAGAAGCTATTATAACTATTCTGATTTTACAGAAAGGAAAACTGAGGTTTGAAGAACTTGAGTTACAGGGTTATATAGTTCCTAAATGGTTGGGATAAGCCTCCAACTCTAGTTATCTGGTACCAATTGCCATGTTAATAGTGTAGGGTTACTTGAGTCTGGCCATCTTCATTTTTCTGGTTGACTTAGCATTTATTCTATTACTCATTTGACATTTTAATCACAAATTGCCAGAAATTTTAACCATTTTTTAAAATAATTTATTTACTTGAAAGGCAGAGTTACAGAGAGAGAAGAGATCTTCTATTTGCTGGTCCAGTCCCCAAATGGCTGCAATGGCCAGGGATGGGCCAGACCAAAACCAGGAACCAGGAGCTCCATCTGGGTCTCCCACATGGGTGCAGGGGCCTAAACACTTGGGCCATCCTCCGCTGCTTTCCCAGGTGCATTAGCAGGGAGCGGGATCAGAAGTGGAGCAGCCAGGACTCGAACCAGTACCCATATCACCCATATTGGATGTCAGCATTGCATGCAGCAGCTTAACCCGACTTACCACAATGCTGGCCCCTTTAACCATCTTCTCCTAATTAAATAGGAAACTCCATTAAACCAGGAACCACAAACTTAAACACATCCATAGGCTCCATAAAACCTGGCATTAAGCTTAAAAGTTGCACCTGGGGCCGGCACTGTGGCTTAGCGTGTAAAGCTACTGCCTGCAGTGCTGGCATCCTACATTGGCACTGGGTGGGGTACCAGCTGCTCCACTTCCAGTCCAGCTCTCTGCTATGGCCTGGGAAAGCAGTAGAAGATGGCCCAAGTGCTTGGGCCTCTGCACCTATGTGGGAGACCCGGAAGAAGCTCCTGGGTCCTGGCTTCAGATCAGCCCAGCTCCAGCCATTGCGGCCATTTGGGGAGTGAAACAGCAGATGGATCTCTCTCTCTCTCTCTCTCTCTCTCTGTCTCTCCCTCACTCTCTCTCTGTAACTCTGCCTTTCAAATAAAATGAATAAATCTTTTTAAAAAATTTGCACTTTTTCACTAATTGCTGATTAGTGTTTTGGACCTGGGAGACAGTTCACCCAGTCAGAATCTCTGTTGGTATTACTATAGTCAGTGATTTTCAATTTAGGAAGATTCCCTCGAGGTGTGTTTTGAAAACTACACAATGGTTAGGCCTGGTCTTAGAGCTTCCATAATCCACAATAGCTTTACACCATTTCCTGCTCAGTTTTGAAGCAGGCCCTAGTATTTGTGACTAGGCCCTCACTGATATTAAAGATGCATTGGGCCATCTTGTAACAGGCTCCACTACTGCTAGCAGTAGAGTAACATCAAAGATGATTGTATTAGGTGATATTATTGGGTGAATGTACCCCCTTGACTTAGAGAGAAACCTTCCTAGCAGTATCCAGGTGTGTCTGCTAGCCTGTCTGTATAGTTCCTGAGTTAACTGGGCCTCTACATTAGCCTTACTTTTGCACTGTGTATCTCCATTTTCTTAGGCAGATTCTAGCTCACTCAAGTTGCTTTCTATTTTAAATGAGTACAAACATAGCTTTCAGAGCCCCTATATTTTTATGTTGACAATGGGAATGAACATTTTAGCAATAATAATGAAATCTACTCAATGATGAAGAGCCCTGGTGGAATTCTCTGAATCATTGCAGATTTTAATGCTCAGAAACATATCCTCACTATGTTCTCTGTTATCTCACAACTTATATATATTTTGCACTCGTAATTTACTTGGATTTCTTTGTACCTGTATGTTATTTTTGCATTTTAAATGGTCTTTAGAAAAAAAAAAAAAACAGTGGGGCCAGCACTGTGGTGTAGCAGGTTAAACCACCACCTGTGATACTATCTTCCTATATGGGTGCCTGTTGAGTTCCGAGTGCTGCACTTCTGATCCAGTGCCCTGATAAGGCACCTGGGAAAGCAGCAGAGAATGACTCAAGTCCTTGGGCCCCTGCACCCACGTGGGAGACCCACAAGAAGCTTCTGGCTCCTGGCTTCAGATCAGCCCAGCTCTAGCTGTTGCAGCCATTTGAGGAGTGAAACAGCAGAGTTAATATTTGAAGATAGAACCTTCCCAGAGCTTCCCCCATGTAGTGAATTGCTTGACCCAGCGCTTCACAAACTGTAATGTGCATAGCAATCGCCTGGGGCTCCTGTTAACAGGTGGATTCTGATTCAGTAAGTGTGGGGTGGGCCTGAGATTCTGCATTTCTGACGAGCTTCCAGCTGATGGTGATTCTGCTGGTTTGTGAACCACTCTGTGAGCAGCAAGGGATCATTTTGGCTCTGCCTTTAAACTCAATCACTAACCCTATATTAAGATCAAATGTGGGGCCGGCGCCGTGGCTCACTAGGCTAATCCTCCACCTAGCGGCGCTGGCACACCGGGTTCTAGTCCCGGTCGGGGCGCCGGATTCTGTCCCGGTTGCCCCTCTTCCAGGCCAGTTCTCTGCTGTGGCCAGGGAGTGCAGTGGAGGATGGCCCAAGTGCTTGGGCCCTGCACCCCATGGGAGACCAGGAAAAGCACCTGGCTCCTGCCTTCGGATCAGCGCGGTGCGCCGGCCGCAGCGCGCCGGCCGCGGCGGCCATTGGAGGGTGAACCAACGGCAAAGGAAGACCTTTCTCTCTGTCTCTCTCTCTCACTGTCCACTCTGCCTGTAAAAAAAAAAAAAAAAAAAAAAAATGAGTTCTTTAACCTGTCCCTTAACACGCCCTCAAAGGGGCCGGCACTGTGGAGGAGTAGGTAAAGCTGCCACCTATAGTGCTGGCATCCCTTGGGGTGCTGGTTCAATTCCCAGCTGCTCTATTTCTGGTCCAGCTCTCTGCTGTGACCTGGGAAAGCAGCAAAAGATGGCCCAAGTCCTTGGGCCCCTGTACCCATGTGGGAGAAGCTCCTGGCTCCTGACTTCAGATTGACTCAGCCCTGACTGTTGCAGTTATTTGAGGAGTGAACCAGTGGATAGAATCTCTTTCTCTCTCTCTTTCAAGTAAATAGATAAATCTTTAATTTAAAAAAGAGCAAATATGTGCTTACAAGGAAATCTACTCTCATGTTTAGTAGGTGGAGACATTCCCTTTCTCAGGAATATAGAACTGGCACTAAAAATCTGATTTGGAAACTTTGGAACTTAAAATTCATACAAGTAAACAATTCATGACAGAGAGGTTTCTCTCTCTTTATGCCAATATTTGTGGGGAAGACAATTTCAGTTCCTTGTTACAATTTAAATTCAATGTATTTCTTTTTGTTAATAAAAGAGACAGCTGTTTTCTCTTTGTATTATTTTATTTTTAAAATTTGACAGGTAGAGTTAGACAGTGTGAGAGAAAGACAAAGAGAAAGGTCTTCCTTCCATTGGCTCACCCCCCAAATGGCCGCCACGGCTGCGCCGATCTGAAGCCAGGAGCCAGGTGCTTCCTCCCAGTCTCCCATGCAGGTGCAGGGACCCAAGCACTTGGGCCATCCTCCACTGCCTTCCTGGGCCACAGCAGAGAGCTGGACTGGAAGAGGAGCAACTGGGACTAGACCCCGGTGCCCATATGGGATGCTGGCGCCGCAGGCAGAAATTTAACCAAGTGAGCCACAGCGCCAGCCTCAACAATTTAAATTCAATGTATTTCTACCTTTGCTGGCAGGAAAAATTCTTTTTCTCATGTGAACTTTTTTCTGTTACAATTTAACATTTTTATTATTTCATATTGGTTGATAGAGAAATTAACTACATAAAATCACTTCCAAACAATTTTAAACATAAATAGAACCCAAGGACTTTGCTAAAAATATGGGGGAGTACTAGTAATTTAATCCATGAAACTCCCAGGTAATGAACATTTATACATATGATGACATAAAGCAAACCCTTGAGGAATGGGTATGCCTTGAAATACAGCCCTGATCCTTTCCAAGACTAAACCAACAAGTGTGACAACATTTATCTAAGATGGTGGCAGTCATTTTTTGTTTAAATTCCAATCATAATTCCAGTTCTTTTCTCAGATGACGTCAGAGGCTAGAATTCATTCAAGGAAATAATTATCCCTTTACTGGATTCATTGATATTTTCTTTGGGAAAATCCTACAGGAAGATCGCCACTGGTTTCCTGCTTGGAGAACTAAATTGTGAGAGGCAAAGCTGCTATTCCTCTGGTTGATAGTCACACATGGGACCAGATTCACCAATGCGTGATCAGTGCCTGCACACAGGGCCCCACCCTCAGCAGAGCCCTGTGCTTGCTTTAATGCCCTGGCATATCTGTCTCAAAATTCTGAGTAATTCCAGAAAAGGCAGCCCTACATATGCATTTTACACTGGGCCTGCAATTGATGTAGCCAGTCCTGAGTACACAAAGGAATACACGTTTCCTAGACCATGTGTAGAAAATTTAGTCTTTGCTCCAGCATGACTGTCTCACCACTCCCAAAACCAAACCAGTTCTAGTAATTACTGCTTCACCTTTCCTGCCAAGAAGGACTAGACACGTACCTACATGAGCTTTCCTGCTAGGCTACAGCCATCACACTTTTCATGGTGTCATACCCCTCACATCACAGGCTGTAGTTTCAAGGAGTCCTAGATTGCCAGTGCTCAGAAGGTTAACCAGTGATCCTGCTCTTTTTTAGGCTAGCCATGTTATATTAGTTATGTTATTCAGGTCTTAGTTTATGTTTTGTTTTCCCTGTTGTGAAAGAATCAGGAAGAATGAGAAGGATATCTTCCCCCATCCAAAGGGAATGTGATCCTATGCCTGCTAAGAATCTCTGCCCGATTCCTTAGCTGATTGAGATCGCGCCAGGTGTGCAGGAAGTGGTGCGTGTGTGTGTGTGTGTGTGTGTGTGTGTGTGTGAGAGAGAGAGAGAGAGAGAAATGTCTGAAGCAGCTAAAGAGGTGAAGATTACCCAAGACCACAAAAGGAACAGAGATTTGCAGGTCCCTTCGGTGTTGGATACCCAAGACCCACCCTATCCCAAGAAAGTGGCAGCACTTCAGGAAGAAATGACTGTGCCCAATTTTAGCAAAAATCCAGTGCTGAGTGTTTCCCAGAAGCAGCAGTGTCCTCAGCTTGGACAATGGGCATACAAATGCTAATCCATGTAGACCAAAGACTGGAGAAACTGCCCCAACTTTTTTTCTTTATGTAAGAATACTAGAGGCCAGTAGGTAAGAATGAGGAAAGACTAATCTAAAATTTTCCACTAGTATAGGCAAACAGGGCCTCAAAATCAGATTATCATTTAATTTAAACAAAATGAAGTCATCTGCTATTTTTTTTAAGATTTATTTATCTGAAAGAGTTACACAGAGAGAGAAGGAGACACTGAGAGAGAGAAAGAGGGAGAGAGAGAGACAGAGAGACATCTAGTGGTTCACTTTCCAAATGGCTTCAATGGCCAGAGCTGGGCCAATCCGAAGCCAGGGGCCTGGATCCAGGAGTGCTTGGGCCATCTTCCACTGCCTTCCCAGACCATAACAGAAAGCTAGATCAGAAGTGGAACAGCCGGGACTCGAACCGGTGCGCATATGGGATGCCGGCACTGCAGGTTACCCACTACACCACAGTGCCAGTCCCATTACATGTTCTTAGAAGAAATACCATTCAATCTATACCTGCAGGAACTGCTTTGAATTAACTAGCTGAGCAATATTCTCAAGCACATATGAGGGTCCTCCTGGTCCCCAGAATTTCAGGTGACTGGTTGTCCCAAGCCCTCCTCTTAATAAAAATGCATGCCTTCCAGATATCTGATCCCCCAACAGTTGCTGAAGCTTCCTCAGGGAGCCCCCTTCATTCCTTCAGTTGCCTAATGGATATAACCCAAATGGTCCTGGGTTTTGCGATCAGGAGCAATCTACGCCCTTGTACCTGCAGAGCTGGTACCTTTAAGTCACACTCAGCCTCTACAGATCTTGGGCAACATTAAACAGCTGAATCTGAGGTTACAAAGCTCCCAGTCACTCGGCCACAATTAGTCGTGCATTGTCTTGCTCCACAGTTTTGTTGCCCAATGCATTTCTAATGCGAGCCCAGAAGAGGGGCCTTTCATGGACATTGTCTGGCCAAGTGATAAAAGTCTGTCTGTTCACAAGTTTCCGGAGTCGGTGGTAATTGGACAACTTATAGTTGGGGATCTCTTCCAGGAAAATCAAGATAATAACATCTTCATGCTCGTAGAACATCTTGATGCTGGCCAGCTGTACTTCAAGCCGACACCATTCACTGTGCAAGTAGTGGTTACTGACCACACACAAAGTTTTCCGGCTGGTGTTGATGGCATTCTGGATGTTCTCAAAGATGTCCACACCTGGTTCAAAGTCCCGGTGATGGAGACAGAGCTTAAAGGTAGGCTGGCCACCTTCTTCTAGGGCTGGAACAAGCTCTTTGTACACCCACAGCTCATCTGTGGCAGAGAAAGAAACAAAGGCATCATAGATGAACTCCTTCTCTGACCTGTGCCATTTAGCTACGTACCAGGCTCTAAATATGTACAGCCCATACCACAGGGATGAAGTTATCTTGGCACTGAACCACGAGAAGACCATGGTCGTGAGGACCACACTGAAGGAACAGAAGAAGTAGACCTTTCCCAGGTCAAAATTACACAAAGCATCATCAAAATCTATCAACAAACTCTGAGAATCTGGATGCTGACAGGGGTAGCTCCGGAGGTAGGGGATATGGACATGAGCTGTGTTTGTTGACCAGTTCTTGAACCACAGATTGTCACAGTTGCACTGAAGTTTGTTCCCATAGAGATCAAAGTACGTCAAAGACTTCAAATTTTCCAGATGGCTTTGATTAATGATGTTTAACCTATTGAATCTTAAGGAAAAGACCTGAAGGCTTTCTAAGCCAGAGAACATGCCAGGAGTCAGCGATTCTAAGTTGTTGTTTTCAAGGCACAGTATCTTTAATTTCTTGAGTTTTTTGAATATGGAAGTATTTAAATAGAGACTCCTGTCTCCAGCTTTTGTTCCAGAGATATCTAGCCTTGTGAGGTTTATCAGGGGATCAAACTGCAGGTGGTCCAGGAATACCATGGGATTTTTCCCTAGGAGTAGCTCCTGCAAGCCAGCCAGCCCTTGGAAGAAGTTCACTGGAACAACCTGAAGTCCATGTGCTTGTCCTTCCAGGTTGAGTTGTTTCAAAGACTTGAGGTTCATAAATGGAGGAAATGTCAAGTTCCTTGTAGTTTCATATGTGATTTTATTAAAACCGAGATTCAAAACTTCCAGCCTTTCCAGGCCCAAGAAGAGGTCTTTATGAAAACCCGACAACCTGTTGTATGTCAGGTCAAGATTAGAAAGGTAAGCAAGGCCAGAGAACGCTCTTGCCTCTATAGTTTCCAGGCGGTTCTGAGAGAGAATCAGAACTTGGAGCTTCTTCAGGGATTCAAAGGTTTTGTATTTTAGAGTTCGAATATTGTTGCCTCCAAGATCTAGGCTCTCTAAGTTTGGAAGCTGGGTAAAGGAGTGTCTATCAATTGTCACTATCCAACAATAAGCCAAGTTGAGCTCCTTCAATGAATACAGCCCCTTGAAAGTCATATTATTGATTTCTGTGATGGGGTTTCCAGAGAGAAAGAGTGTCTGTAGGCTCTTCAAGGGAGAAAATGCAAAATCTGGAAGCCATTTAAACATGTTATGGCTCAGGTCTAGGGATGTCAAATTCTGGAGGGAACTCCAGGTCATGTTATTGACAAAGGAAAGTTGGCACTTTTTAAGATTCAGCTTTTGGAGGCTGGGCATAGCCACAAACTCATTGGCATCGAGGCGACCCAGATCCCTGCTTTGGCTCAAGTCAAGGGACAAAAGTCTGGTGCAGTTGGCAAGATGCTTGATGCCCTCTGCATCAGTGGAGATTTTCTGAAAAGTCAAAGCCTCTAATAGGGGCAAGTCTCTGAGCAGGCGGCACACTGCATCCAAGTTTAAGTGATCACCTCTGAGCTCCCGGTTGCTGAGGTCCACTTCCCTTAGATTCTGCAGGTGTTCGGGTGGAAGCATTTCCAGCTTCACTATTGTTGCACTTAGATTCAAACTCCTCAACTGGGGCAGAGTTTGCACATACACATGCTGAATGACTTGATGGCTATTCCGGGAGACATCCAGAGTGGTCAGATTCGGCAGGGACAAAGCAGAGAAATTTAACTTCATTAGCTTGTTCCCCTGTAGGCTCAAATGGGTCAAGGAAAGCAATGTCCTGGGGCTTTGATCCAAGGAGATGATACTGTTGATAGTGAGATCAAGATACTTCAGGCATGGAAGATGCTGGACTGCTTCAAGTACATTGGAAAAATTGGTAATCAAGTTTCGAGATAGGCTTAAATGTTTCAATTTGACAAGAGGGACAAAGGCATCGTGGTGAATATGGGAAATTTTATTGTGGTTCAGGAGCAAGGTCTCCAAGTTGGAAAGGCCCTCAAATGAGTTGTTCACACTTTGAATCTTATTTTCTACTAAATTCAAAAGGGTCAAGTTTTGGAGTCCCCAAAAGGCCCTCTCACTAATCTTCCAAATGGAATTCCACTCCAGTCTCAAGTCCACTAGAGCAGACAAATTAGTGAAGCTATGGGGAGGAAGGACCTGAATTTGGTTCTGTGTCAGATTGAGGTGAGTGGTATATCCAGGGATGTCACTAATGGCATCTGTCAAGTTAGTGATCTTCTTCCGAATGCACAACACATGGTGAATGTCTAATGCATACTGTGTGCATTTACTGAACCCGTATGGCTCTGCCAAAGACAGTAGAGAAAGCCCAATTAAAACGGGCCAGAGCTGCTGAGGAGGCAGGGCACTCTCCACGCCCATCGTGTCAGTCCCAGGCCTCAGATTACTGTAAGAAAAAAAATCTCTTTGCATGGGTGAGGCTCATATTTGAAGGAATGGTCTTTCCATCTTAGCTTTGCTGCAAAGAAAAGAGAAAAAATCAGTATAAATTTCTCCCCCCTAGTAAATATTTCTTAGCTGTTTTGATGGAAAAAAAAAAACTTTGTCCCAGAGGCAGGCGTTTGGCACAGGAGGTTAGGAGGCCACTTGGGACACCCAAATCCCATATCAGGGTGCCTGGATACGAGTCCTGGCTCCATTTTTTTTCTTTCTAATATTTAGTTAGTTGGTTATTTGGAAGGCAGAGTGACAGAGAGGGAGGGAGAGAGAGATTGAGAGATATCATCCACCTGTTGGTTCACACCCCAGATGGCCTGAACAGCTGAGTCTGTGTCAGGTCAGACAGGAGCCCAGAACCCCATCCAGGTCTCCTATGTGGGTGGCAGGGCCCAAGTACTGGCTCCACTTCTGATCCAGCTTCCTGCTAATGCACACCCTGGGAAAGCTTCAAGATGATGGGTCAAATGCTTAGGCCCCAACCTCCCATGTGGGAAACCTGGATTGAGTTCCAGACTCCTGATTTCAGCCTGGCTCTGCATATGGGGAGTGAACTGGTAGTGAACTGGTAGATACACAATCCTCTCTCTCCCTCTCTCTCTCTCTCTCCTTTTCAAATAAAAAAATTTTAAAGCTTTATCCTGAAGTTAACATCCAAAATAAATCCATTTCCAAAGCACTCCGTGTATCAGCAAAGACAACTTTTATTTCTCCTACAACCAAAATTATTAACACATGGAAGCTGGAAAGGCAATTGCACACTTGATTTAATAAGATAATTAAGAAGTTCCCCAGATCTCCTCTCACTCCTTATTATATCTCACTTGTTATTGGGGTTGATACCTGAAATTCTGCCACTGGAAACTTGGGGGTCTATGGATCTCAGTGTAGTTAAAAGATAATCATCCAGGCCGGCGCCGCGGCTCACTAGGCTAATCCTCCGCCTAGCGGCGCCAGCACACCAGGTTCTAGTCCCGGTCGGGGCACCGGATTCTGTCCCGGTTGCCCCTCTTCCAGGCCAGCTCTCTGCTGTGGCCAGGGAGTGCAGTGGAGGATGGCCCGGGTGCTTGGGCCCTGCACCCCATGGGAGACCAGGAAAAGCACCTGGCTCCTGGCTCCTGCCATCGGATCAGCGCGGTGCGCCAGCCGCAGCACGCCGGCCGCGGCAGCCATTGGAGGGTGAACCAACGGCAAAAGGAAGACCTTTCTCTCTGTCTCTCTCTCTCACTGTCCACTCTGCCTGTCAAAAAATAAAAATAAAAAAAAATAAAAAAAAAAGATAATCATCCAGGGTGGGCTTTCGGTTTAGCAATTCAGACACCAGTTAAGCTGCCTGTGACCCATATGATAGAAGCTGGGTTCAACCCCCAGCTCTGAATCCTAACTCCAGCTTCCTGCTAATGCATACCTTGTGAGGCAGTGGTGTTGGCTCACATAGTTGGGCCCGTGCACCCATATGGGAGACCGGGAGGAAGCTCCTGTCTCTTGGTTTCAACCTGGCATAGCCCTGGCTGTTGCAGCCATCTGGGGAGTGAAACAGCAGATGGGATTTCTCTCTCTTCTCTCTCTCTGCCTCTCAAGTAAATAAATAAATAAAATTTTGAAAGAGAACTATCCATGGCAGGGGGAAAAAATCCAGCTTCACAGGTCACCTCCATCTTAACATGAATGAATACAGGAACCCTTGATTTAAAGTAATTAATGTCACAACTTGTATTTGCATCTGTCAGGCAGGCAATACACATGTTATCTGCACAGTATATACCATTCATGGCAAGCAGAAAAACGATAACTACAATAAGGTTGGGTCTGTAGGTCACTTTCTGATGTGTGCTGCCCAAGGTTTCTCTAGTCTTGCCTCCCAATTTCAACCTTTCCCACAGTCACTTATGGTGACACAGTGAGAAGAATATCAGCTTGGGCAGATCTAGGCTCCAATCCTTTCACAGATTTATTACCCACCCCCATTTAGACAGAATCTGTTTCCTTATCCATGCAAGGGGACAGTGTTACCTACATCCTCATAATGTGCTGATTCAGCAGGAGAACTTAAAATGCCCAGCTCATGCTGCACATGTCCTGAAGCACAATAAAAGCTTATTCTCTTCTTTGCCCCTCAATTCTAGGCTGACACCACCACACCATCTTTGTGTGGGTCTTCTAGACCTTATCGCAGGAGCACTGGTAGCCACAAAGGAAGGAGAAAAACAATACAGTTGAGGTGGGCTGTTTCTTTCTTTTGTATATATTCCCATAAGCACACAAAGATAAGTGATATATAAATATAAATATTGTATAAATATATATTTATATAAATATAAAATTGCACTGGTTGCAATTTTAGAAATCACAAAAACAAATATCTTTTATAGAAACCATATGGGCACTGGTTCAAGTCCCGGCTGTTCCATTTCTGATCCAGCCCTCTGCTATGGCCTGGGAAAGCAGTGGAAGATGGCCCAAGCCCTTGGGCCCCTGCACCCACATGAGAGACCCGGAGGAAGCTCCTGGCTTCAGATCGGTGCAGCTCCGGCTGTTGTGGCCATCTGGGGAGTGAACCAACAGATGAAGGACCTCTCTCTCTCTCTGCCTCTCTTCTCTCTGTGTAACTCTGCCTTTCAAATAAATAAATAAATCTTAAAAAATTTCAGGATGTATTTCTTATCATAAGGTTTAGTGTACAAGCGTAGCATTTAGTATTTCATTTAATATGAAGGTATTAGAAAAAGTTCATGAAAATGGCTTTAAGGTATAAGTTGATTTTGGTGCAAAAATTTTTTGAACTCTATGCATAGTTTTTTAATAAGACACATTTTTCCATGAACTTTTTGAAGTCTCCTCATCTGGTACTTCTGGGCATTTTAGTTAAAAAATTGGCACCAGGCCTTCAGTTTACAATGTAATCCCTTATTTCCAAAAGCTGGTTTTATAAGAAATTAAGGTTTGGTCTACATCATTTCTTTTTTTTTTTTAAGATTTATTTTATTTATTTGAAAGACAGAGTTACAGAGAGAGGTAGAGACACAGAGAGAGGTCTTCCATCCGCTGGTTCACTCTCCAGATGGCAGCAACGGCTGAAGCTGTGTCAATCTGAAGCCAGGAGCCAGAAGCTTCTTCCGGTCTTCCACGTGGGCCATCTTCCACTGCTTTCCCGGGCTATAGCAGAGAGCTGGATCGGAAGAGGAGCAGCCGAGACTAGAACCGGCGCCCATAAGGGATGCCAGCACTTCAGGCCAGGGCTTTAACCCTCTGAGCTACATTGCCGGCCCCTGTCTACATCATTTCAACCTGCAACAGCTTCCCCCAAATATTATGTACCATGAATGGCCTAAATAGTAGATTATTTACAAGAAAGGGATTTTACATTTTTGTTTTAATTTTTTTCCTACAGGTGCTGCCCACAGATCTAGAAAATTCAAGCAGCACAACGTGACACACAGTACAACAGCCTTGTTCTCACTCTAATCCTCCAATCCTGCTCCCCAGAAGTAACCACTCATCATTTTTTTCTGTATCCATCCATACAGAAAATGTCTAAAATGTCACCAAGGAGAGTATAGGAGCCTACTGGATGCCAATGCTGGCAGAGGGGAGCCCCAGTAGGGGATAGAAAGGTACACAGAGGGGGAAGGTAGGAGACATCAAAGACAAACTTCTCTCACCAAAAAAAGCACATAATTAAATATGTGGATGTTGTCTAGCACAAAGCTGCCACAGAAATTCTAAAGCTGCACTTCCCAAAATACCCAGAACTTGGCCTCTCCCTACACATTTAAGCAGGAAAATTTCTGAGAAGGGGAAAATACTGTCAGCAAATATGTGGGTACTTCAAAAAGTTTGTGGAAAATGAAATTAAAAGATAAGTTTATTTTGATGCAAAAAATATTGTAACCGATGCATATGAGGGCTCATCAAAAAGTGATGGAATGTATATTGTGGAAAGATTATGCATGGATTTCAAAATTTATTTGCACAAAGATAAATTTATTTTTCAATTCCATTTTTCATTAACTTTTTAAAAAAGATTTTTATTGATTTATTTGAGAAGCAGAGTTACAGAGAGGCAGAGGCAGAGAGCAAAAAGTCTTCCATCCACTGGTTCACTCCCGAAATTGCTGCTGCAGCTGGAACTGGGCCAATCTGAGGATAGGAGTCAGGAGCTTCTCCCAGTGTAGGGGCCCAAGCACTTGGGCCATCTTCTAATACTTTCCCAGGCCACAGCAGAGAGCTGGATAGGAAGTGGAACAACCCAGGCCATAGCAGAGAGCTGGATAGGAAGTGGAGCAACTGGGACTCAAACCAGCACCAATATGGGATACTGGTGCTGCAGGAAGATGCTTAACCCACTACACTGCAGTGTCGACCCTGTCCATGAACTTTTTGAAGGACCCTTGTGTGGAATATACAAGCTAATTTATTCAAAGTAAAACACAATTGGGTGTATTCTCCTTTAGCTACCAGATTCCATCCTGATCCTCTTCTGTCTAATATAGACTTCTATTTTAAATTTTTACCTATTTATTTTATTTGTTGGAAAGGCAGAGAGACAAACAGGTAGAGAAAGACCTCCCATCTATTGATATACTCTCTTAATGCCCATAACAGCTGGGGTGAGCTAGGCCAAAACCAGGAGCTGGGAACTAAACCAGGTCTCCTATGTGGCTAGCATTAGTAGGGAGCTAGAATTGAGAACATAGCTGAGACTCAAGCCCATACACTCGCACACAGGATATGGGCATCCCAAGTGGTATCTTTTTTTTTTTTTAAAGATTTATTGATTGATTTATTTGAGAGGCAGAGTTACAGACAGAAAGAGGGAGAGACAGAGAGAAAGGTCTTCCATCTGCTGGTTCACTCCCCAAATGGCCACAACAGTCAGAACTGGATCTATTTGAAGCTAGGAGCTTCTCTGTGTCTCCTCTGTGGGTGCAGGGGCCCAAGCACTTGAGCCATCTTCCACTGCCTTCCAATGCCATAGCAGAGAGCAGAATTAGAAGAGTGGCAGCTGGGACTCAAACTGGT